CAAACCCCAATGGCCAAATCTCAAACTCCAATGGCCAAACCCCAAACTCCAACGGCCAAACCCCAAACCCCAATGGCCAAACCCCAAACCCCAATGGCCAAACCCCAAACTCCAATGGCCAAACCCCAAACTCCAGCGGTCAAAACCCAAACTCCAATGGCCAAACCCCAGATTCCAATGATCAAACTCCAATGACCAAACCCCAACGACCAAACCCAACGGCTTCAAACCCAACCGTTTGCTCGCGAGCAACACCGGGATCAACACCGGGATCAACACCGGGATCAACACCGGGATCAAGGCCAGGATCGACACCGGGATCAACACTGGGATCAAGGCTGGGATCAACACACGGAGCTTTGAAGCAGCAGCGGGAAGCAGAGCAGAGAGGTTTCCCGGGATGTGGATGCCCTCGGGAAGGCGCGGGATGCCGGGAATGTGGGAAGTGGAGCAGGGACTTTTCCCGGGATGGGGATGCCCTCGGGAAGGTGCGGGATGCCGGGAATGCGGGAAGGGGAGCAGGGAGGTTTCCCAGGATGAGGCCGGGAATGTGGGAAGTGGAGCAGGGAGGTTTCCTGGGATAAGGCCGGGAATGTGGGAAGCGGAGCAGGGAGGTTTCCCAGGATGAGGTCGGGAATGTGGGAAGTGGAGCAGGGAGGTTTCCCAGGATGAGGTCGGGAATGTGGGAAGTGGAGCAGGGAGGTTTCCCAGGATGAGGCCGGGAATGTGGGAAGTGGAGCAGGGAGGTTTCCCAGGATCCCGGGATGCGCTCGGGAAGGCGCGGGATGCCGGGAATGCGGGAAGCAGAGCAGGGAGGTTTCCCGGGATGAGGTCAGGAATGTGGGAAGCGGAGCAGGGAGGTTTCCTGGGATGAGGTCAGGAATGTGGGAAGTGGAGCAGGGAGGTTTCCTGGGATAAGGCCAGGAATGTGGGAAGTGGAGCAGGGAGGTTTCCTGGGATAAGGCCGGGAATGTGGGAAGTGGAGCAGGGAGGTTTCCTGGGATAAGGCCAGGAATGTGGGAAGTGGAGCAGGGAGGTTTCCCGGGATGAGGTCAGGAATGTGGGAAGCGGAGTAGGGAGGTTTCCCGGGATGAGGTCAGGAATGCAGGAAGCGGAGCAGGGAGGTTTCCCGGGATGAGGTTGGGAATGCGGGAAGCGGAGCAGGGAGGTCTCCCAGGATCCCGGGATGCCCTCGGGAAGGCCGGGAATGCGGCTCTTACCCTCATGCTGCGGCGCTGGAAGGCGCCGGCGTGCCGGTGGGGCGGCGGCGTGCGCAGGGTGCCGGGTGGGCGCGGGCACTCGGCGGGGCTGGCGAGGGCGGGGGAGCTGGCACAGAGACCCTCGGGAACCTGGAATGGCACGGAGGGAACGGTGGGAACGGGGGGCATGGAACAGAGTGGGGAAAGGGTTAGTGCGGGAATGGGGACGGACACGGGCACGCGAGGGACACGTGGGTGGGCACAGGGATGGGCAGCAGGGATGGCCAAGGGAGCTGGGAAGGGGCTGGAGAACAGGGAATGGCTCAGGGAGGTGGGAAGGGACTGGAAATCTGGGAATGGCTGAGCTGGGAAGGGGCTGGAGAACCTGGAATGACTGAGGGAACTGGGAAGGGGCTGGAGAACAGGGAATGGTTGAGGGAACTGGGAAGGGGCTGGAGAACAGGGAATGGTTGAGGGA